TGCGGTTGAAGCATTGAAATTTAATGTCGGGGGAGCTGCTAGAGGAAAGCCACGTCGAGCAGGATGTGGAGGTCTGTTAAGGGACTCATCTGGTGTGATGTTAGGATTATTTCATGGGTCACTTGGCATCATGGAATCATACGTGGCCATCAACATGGCTTTGCAGGTATTTTTCTTGGTCTAACTAGGCTTCACAATCGGTCTGTGATTGTAGAATCCGATTCAAAATTGACATTATAGGAATGGAGACTGGAGAGTGTTTGTTGAGATTGATAGACTTAGAAATAGGATTGGAAATGTTTAGTTTGTCCATACATTCAAGGAAGCAAACTCTTTAGCAAAGACGGGAGTGTAAAAATCAGATTTATTTTATGCCTGGTGGTAGCTGACCTGACACAAAGGGGATTGATTACTTTGTGTCTTCTGGTGGTGTTACTGTTTACACTGTCTTGTTCCATTGGGACGACCTCTTCTGCCAAGATTCCCTAATTTTGTAACCTTATGGTTTATGAATGAAATTATCTTCGTTGGCTGAGCAAAAAAGCACTGCAGGAAGAACTAGCTAGAAGTGCTTCATGCTATAATTTCTATCAGTTAGAAAAAGAGCCAATGTTCTTTGGTGGGCGACGATCTGAAGAAATTCTGCTCAAAGGGTCATCTTCTTTCAGCATGATGCATCCTCGCCATTGCCTGGAGTTTGATTCCTCTCCTTTGGTTTCATTTTATCTTATCATTTGCTAGTTATTCTCAGTTTATTTTCATTTCTATCATGTTCTAGCTTGTTCTCGTGTTTTATGGTTTGTAATGAAACTTTCTTGATTCAATACAAAAAAGAAAAAAAAAAAAGGATTTGCTGCTTTCTTGAATAAGGAAACGCCGATTATCCAAAAAAAAAAAAAAAGAAGCTTTAGTTTATATCAAAGGTGTAACCCTATTTCAAGTATTATAAAATATGTAAAACCCTAATTAAATAACTATATTAAAAATTTAAAAGATTAAAAAATAACCAATTTTGGATTGTAACTGCAGTAATCTTTTGTAGCATGAGAGTTACAATGTTCTTTCATGTATACAACAGAAAAGTAGGGCTACAAACACCCGAGCCCCCATAATAAGATAAAAAAAAAAACACCTTCTGCATTTTACTTTAATAATGGAATCCATTGATTTTCGTCGAAGATCGTAAGCTTCCTGCAAAAGCTACATTAATTAATTTGATTGAATATTTGACTGACTCTATTAGTACTCCATTTATATAATTTTTTTTTAAGTTAATTTATATAATTTTAATAATGTGAAGTAATGAATGTGTTTGAATAAGGTATTCGGACAAAAGATTTCATTTCAATCAAAACTTTTAAAAATTCAAAACTGAATTTATTTATTTGAATAAAAATTTTAGAAACTTTTAAAATTTAAAAGGAATTCGGGAATTTAATTACCTTACATTCTACCTTGAAATTTTGATTTTTTTAATTTTTTTAAAATTTTTTTTATTACATATGATTTATCATAAAATATAATTTTATTTAACTCGATCTAATATATATATATATATAGATATATTTATTTCTTCATATCATTAATAATATCTATACATTTTTATCAATTTAATGAAACCTATATTACATATTTATATATGCAATTTTTTATCTCCAATATTATTTTTTATCTTTATTATTATTTTTCACTTTATCAAATTTCAATAAACTAAATTTTAAAAAAATATTTATTCAAAAAAATAATTACAAACATTTTAAAATGATGTATTTTGTTATAACGTATAGATCCGTAGACCTACAATTAAACATGGATTAGAAGAGTCACCACCAATCTTTTTTTATCTAGGTGTGATTGACCACCTAATTGAATCTAATCTGCAAAATAGATATTAGGTTCGGGAGTCGATTATGCATGTAAAAAGTTATAGCACCCTAAACGTCCATTCAAAATATGTTACTAGTTTGATTTTGAATTATCCAAGCCTTGATCATTTTTATGATTTATCATATAATCTAATATTAAAAATTAATCATAAAATTGTCCCAATAGTTTGGTAGTAATTTAAGATAATTCACTCACCTCAAGAGTATTTATGGAGACTAATGTCTTACTGTGAAAAGACTTCGTCGGTGGATTTATTAATTTTTTTCAAAAAAATAAGTGAAGCCTCACAATAGTTTGGTATGACTCATTTCAAAGTAATCATCCAATAGTTTAGAGGATAAAATCTATTATTTGTTTATTTGAAAATATTTTTTTATTTTTTTTGAAAGATTTCTTTTTAGAATTATTTATTTATATATATATTTAATAGAAGTGACAGAAATAACTTTTTTCTCGTTTTCTTTTTTTAGGTAAAACTAGAAAATAATAAAAATATGTTAAAAACAAAATAAAATAAAAATAAAATAAAAAAAAAACCTACAATCGGGTCAAGTTGGGGCGCAGATTTGCACAAAAGTAATCAAGTCTACGTGTGGATTTTAGCTTATCCAAAATAACATCGTTCAACTGTGGTATAAAAGTCAAGTTTTAGCATTTTTCTTCAGAAGCCTTTTCCTTTTTTTCTCTCTAGCCAATTTTTTCTCTGCCTTCTCTCTAAAAACCCACTGATAAATTCAACCGAAAACTGGAGATCTCACCGATTTCTGAAAATGTCATAAAAAAATTCAATCAAAAATTGAAAATACGATCAATTTTTCAAAAATGAGCCAGATTCTGAAAGTCTTGCCAAAATCTTGCTGGAAACTTCAACATTCATCGAAAAATTTCGTTGAAAAATTCAATATTTTTCAAAAACCCAAAAAAATTTAAAAAAACTCCAAAAAAATTTTTAGATAGTTCTAAACCTTCCCCAAACTCTTTAAAACCTTAAATTCACCTCTAGAAAACCTACAATCATACCAGAACTATGAATTAAATCCAAAACCTTAGAATTAACCTCTCAGAATCTTTCTGCCCAAAATTTTCAGAATTCTCTCAATATTTTTCTCTCAAATTTCCTCTGTGTTTCTGTGTGTGTTCCTTTTATAGAATTGGTCCAATTTATAAGTAGTTTTAAGAGGATTTTTAAAAAACAAGCAGAATCAATCTTGACTTGAATTCTGAGATTGATTCTATCTGAGCATGATTTTGAGTTTTCGATTTGATTCCCATTAGTTCCACCAGTTGACTTTGCATTAACAATCTTTCATTTTGGTCAAATTTAGATTTCTCCCATCTCTTGGTGGATTCGAACGAAAAGGAAAGAAAAGAAAAAAGAAAATAATAATAATAATAATAATAATAAACAAGTTGTTCACTTAAGCCTTGACACAAATAGACCTAACTGAACTCGGACATCAATAAGCCTAATTAGGCTCAAACATCAATGGATCTAATTGGGACCGAATGTCAATGGGCCTAATCGGGTTTGATGTTAATGGGCCTAATCGGGTCCAAATATTAATGGGCCTAATCAAACCTGATGTCAATGGACCTAATCGAGGCTTCATTAGGCTTAGACATTGATTAGACCTAATCGAGTCTGAATGCAAATAGATGTTTACATATTTTAAAATACTTTTATTTTAAAATTTCTCATCCCAACGTCCTCTTCAACTCAAATGCATGAAATTTGGCTTAGACTTTTGGAACTACAGTTCCGTAGGAACTCTTCACCACCGCGCTTCCAAATGAAGGCTTCATTTGGATCTTCGATTGGTGCCGTTAGAGATGCGAATTGCATCACTTTTTGGCTTAAATCGTGTCATTTTGGTGTTTGGATAACACCAATGAGCTTTGGTGGCCTCGAATTTCCCACGGCAACCTTCTTTCAATTTTGCCGCTATTCTTTTGTTTTTGTTTTTTTTTTCCTCTTTTAACCTTAAAGTTATAGTGACTTGTCAAAAATATCCCTACTATTTTAACCTTTCATTATTTTTTTCATTTTTTAATTTTAAATAATTTTATTAATTTATTAATAATAAATAAGATAGATTAATTTTTGATAAAATAAAAATTTTAAAATTTTAAAAGTTATAAATAATACTAAAATATGTATAAATAATTGATTAATATATTTTTAGAATAAATTCTTAATGACCATTTTTATTCTCATTTCGCCGTCATTAATATGTTATTATTTAAATATATATTTTATTATTATAATAATTAATTTTATTTTATTATTTCGAATTCAATTTTATTTCGCATTCAAATGTACTCAAAATCTAAAAAGGTGTAGGGATCCCCAGTCAAAGTGGAGAAATTAAATATTCAATTTGGAATGGGAAGCGGGAAGCCTTATTCGAGTTGCAGCGTAATTTCTCGGCTGTCCCGTGTTGACTGCGCTTATGTCTATCAAATATGAACGCTTGATAACTTGAGGGTAAGAAATTTAGTTTTTTAAAATAAATTTTAATTTTGAATTTTATAAATAAAAAAGTTTGTAAAAATTTATCTTTTTATAAAACCTGATCTGATTTAATTTTAAATTAATCAAAATTTAAAATTAATCGAAATTTAAAAATGATTTCCAAACATTAAAGGTCTTAGACAATATATATATATATATATATATCTATCTACCAGACTATTCCCTACTTCCCTTTGCTGGTGGATTCTTTAATTTTTAATAAAGATTATCTATTTCCTTGACAACCACGTGTAATAAAAAAGGATAACTTTCTCCTACCTCATCCTCTTATCGAAATCTTTAGCTTTAAAATACTTTCAAAATCATATGTCAACTCTTTTTCTATTTGCCATTCATGCAAAACCAATGGAATTTGCCCAAAAGTTGGCATTTATATAGAACTTCGAATGCAAAGCCTCATTTGTCATTTTAGATTTTTTGTTCAATTTAATAGTAGCTTTCTTGTGGTTCAGAAAACTTGATTATTGTGATAATTTGCAAATGAACAAATATATAGTAGCAACATTATCACATTCACAGATAAAACAGAACAGTAATAACAAGCAAAAGCATTACATGACTTCATTAGTTTCATGATTTATCATGGAATCGTTTCATTAGTAAGTGGTGGAGATGGTATTCTGGTGTATTCCATATGATCCGCAGCTTGCAATTCAACCTCTTCTCCATGAGTCTTCTTGCATCGGTAGTACAAGACAGTGTAAGCTGTATACCAAAACATCCTCACCATCCAGATTGAACTCACTACCAGCACTGCAATTACAATTCCCATCGTTTTTGGTTGCTCTAACTTGACCAATCTTAAACACTGGAACAGTATTAAAGATAATATGGTAAAAAAAGATTCAATATAAACCCTTGCATCTTCATGCCCTTCACAATCTGTGCAGCCTTCCCAAGTGCTTCAATGCCAAATTTTTCTTCAAGTACAGAAATAACAAGGGACAGATTCCAAACAACAGATTCAAAAGTATAGAAAACCGTAGCTGAAACTGTGAGCAGAATAGCAGAAAACGCTGAAGTGATCTGATCACCTCCAATTCCAAGAATCATCGCAAGTAGAAGCAGAGTGGTGAAACAAAGAGAAAGGTAACCAAGAAGGAAGAGAGTGATGTAAAAACAAGTGATTAATGGCCTTTTCAATGATCGGATTGTCGTCGATACCAAATCCTTGATGGATATATTTTTGCCACCATGAATTAAAGCTGACGCATAGGTGGTGGATATTGCGAAGAATAAGGAGGCAATGGCACTGATGAGCAAGAAAACCAACTCTACAACAAGAAAGATTTTCAAGTCTTTCACCGTACCAATGACAAGGTTGGTAAATTCAGGGCTGCCAGGAGTTGCAAAAAGAAGCTGGTAGCTTTGTTTCGTTATAAAATCGGTGATCCAAGGTGTAATAGAGAAGATATTGAGCAGGTAGATCATGGTATGAAGGGAGATGATGATCACTGCTATAAAAGCCATGAGTCTCCCATTTTTGAGATAGACTTTGTATGCATCTGCTAAAAGTGTAATGAAATCAAAAACCAGAGAAATAAAATCTTCCATTGCAAAAAAAGAGGATATTAAAGTTACTTGCTGCCAAGATCTTTTAATCTTTTTCAGAATAGCAAGGAGCAGCAAATGTAGTTTCATTTATATACTAATCAAAGAAACACATACTAAATTCCATGCATAGAATTAAATTCATAACAGGAATGAAAAGTATTGAGCAACAGCAATTTTCCGTGTTTACTAGTCAACTCTTTTGACGCATTGAGCAACAGCAATTTTCCGTGTTTGCTAGTCAACTCTTCTGACGCAAATTAATTATCACATGTTGTAAAATAGTCTAGTTGACCGGGCTAAGTCCTTGCTAAGAAAAATAAAATAATGATGATAATTAATCAATGAAATTGATTAATTAACTGAAAGAAGATTTCATTTTTGCACTTTTGGAACATCGTGAAATTGTTAGGCTTTACCACCAGCTTAGTAAGAAATTGATAAAGTGATTAAAATTTTAATTTTAGTGATTAAAATTTAAATTTTAATAATTTTAAATATAAAAAAATTATTTATTAAGTTCTGTTGTTAAAATATTAAATTATTAGTTTTAATGATAAAAATCATACGCTAACAATCTCAATTATAAAAAAAATTACTAGTTAAAGGTGGCAAACGAGTTGATTTGGACGAATTTGAATTGAATTATTTTCAAATTCGAATCTTTAGGGTTCATTATTCCATCTCTAAGCATCACAATTGGAAGTAATCTCATTCCATCTCAAAATTCTCTATTCCTTTCATCCTACATCCCGTAAGGAGAAGCCTTAAGAAAGGTCAAGTGCAAAGATGTTGGAAAAGTAGAACAACGTAGCAACCTAACCAGGAAAGAAAAAAAGCTTAAAAGCCAACTGTTCTTGCTGATCGTGGAAATAATATGAATAAATTTAATCCAAGTCATTTGAGTATAATTTAATACAAATTCATTAATTTAAAAAAATAAACAATTAATCCAAAATTTTAATTCTATTAACATAATTTAAACAATTATAAAACTAACCCTTAAACCTAAATTAATATATTTATATATTATTCTTTATTTTTATATCTATTGAATACATAGCAACAAAACTTATTTGTATTTAAATATTACAATTTTTTAACTTTTGTTTATTTATTATAAATAATTTTAATTAAACATTAATAAATTTATCATCACTATATTTTTACAAACATGTAGATTTAAGTTTAACATATATATGATTATTATAATAACTAAAATCAAATTGAAAATATCTAATTTTGATTTTTATTATTTTTCATATTATATCTTTCATGTTTCTTTTTTTTAACTTTTATGTGTCAAAATAATATTACAGGTTTAATATATTTATTTTGTTATACATATATTTACATATTAGCATTATAATTATAAGTTTTGTTTTTTAGGTATTGCATCTAAAAAATATTTTTTTATTATTAATAGATTTGATATATTTTGGAAAAACTAATTTATTATTATAAAATATTATTTCAAATGAATATTTGAAAATATTGATTTTCATAATAAAATGGTCTTTAAATAAAGTTTTTAACGAAATTGTTACCGAATTATTAATAGAATTGGACCTACTTCTTGTGTAAAAATGAAAATTTTAGGACAAACTGTTCATTTTTTCAAATTAATATATTTATGTTGAATAAAACTTAAAACTAAAAGATCTAAATGAAATTTAACCAAATAATATTTTATTACAGTCATAGTTAATTGGTAACGAAATTGTTGACTACGTCCTTTTTCCAATGAATTGACATTGTCTGATCTAAATTGCAAGCAAAATCCGTAATTATAACGGAATTAATCTAATCTGTTGTTGGACCTAGTTCTTATAGTTGCAGCAAACACAGAATGGTTGCCACAATAATTTCTTTCTAATTTTTATAAAATGATGTAATTTGAGACTTTTCATTAACTTGGCTTTTAGAAACTTTTATTGTTCACAAATAAATCAGGAAGTACTACTTCTGATCTCAAAAGAAAATTAAGTTTATGCAGTCAACATTTCTCAAATCATGAACCGCGTTGTATTTTTCTACATGATGAGGGGAATTGTCCCCATGCGATAAGCAAAGGGTGGCAAACCATCAGCTTGGTCGTTGAAATCAATGTGCATTTCCACCGTTCTCAAAGCCAGGGCCATTCTCCAGGATTTTCAGTAGTCCCATGTCATACTTAATGCTATTTGTAATATCCTCAGCTCGAAAAGGAAAATTTTCCAGGTTAGAAATTCAGATGGTTAAGATTAAGCAGTAAAGAGGAGGAGGTCGGACTTGTATTGAGGAAGTAGATTTAGGCCCTGGAAAGATATAACCATGGATATGTGAGACTGAGACTATCATAAAATCACACAAGTTACATATTCGGTCGAATTCAATCATGTACTACAAGGGTTTAGGTTTCTAGTGACATTTTTTTCAATGTTTAGTGATGTTTATAAACATCATTAAAAGATTTATGGCATTTACAAAAAATACTAATTAGAGTGTCGACTATATACACGTAAAAAAAAATAGTGATATTTTTTTATAAAATGCCGCTATTTTTTCGACATTTGTATTTGGAAAACACTGCTATTTTAGTAGCATTTGTATTTAAAAAACACCGCTAATTTAACGACATTTATATAAAAAAAACGTCACTACTTTTAGTGGTGTTTTATGGTACAAACACCTCTAAATTTAGAATTTAGCGGCATTCTTGAACGCAAACGCCACGAAATTAAGAAATTTACTTTTTTTAAAAAAAATTTATATTAATATTTATTATTTTCATTAACAAGAAATATTAAAAGAAATAAAGACGAACTTAAATTCAGAAACTGAAATTAATAAATACTTAATTTATGTTTAAATATGCATCTAATTAACACAAAGTTTAATAATTAGTATAATAACATTCAAAATTTTTTAATACATTAACAAAAAAATTAAAATATATAAAATTGATGATCGCATAGATTTGGAAGATTGTCATTTGATGAAGGAATTTTTCCACCTTGGTCACTAGCATGCTTAAAAACCTACTGAATAATACCATACAAGTGTTAACACTTAATAGTAAGCTTTTTTATATTAAAAAATATAAATATTTACTAAATATAATACCTGAGTTGGTAGACCACCAAGATTAGTTCTTGAAAATTGTTGTTGCACAAAATTCATAAGATGATCGAATCGATCATGCAACTACTGAAATAACGAATGGGACATTAATTACATACAAGCATTTATTACATTATGTCTTAAACATTCGAATTATAAAATATAGATGATTCATCATGGTTCATAAATGTCTTCATTAACATCTTCGTGGACTCACTAAGCGTAGGTACTAGAGATATTTTATCCAAGTTTTGTTCAGCAAAAAGATAACATTCAGTTTCATGTTTAACATCATCTTTGGTATCTAACCTCATATCAAATAAGTTTTTAAGTATGTTTCGAAGAACAACAAACCAACCCAATTCTTTGGGATCTTCAGAATAAAAAACTTATTTAACTTGAGATGCAAAAACATAAGGTTCATTAATGAGCTATTGTCCAATGTGAATTAATCGAGAAAAATTCACAAGTGTAAATCCAAATTGATCTTTCTTAATACCTCTCGTACTATTCACATAAGCCCAATCATACCAAAATAGGACAACTTTCCACTTGCCATAATAATCTAACTTAATGATATCATTAATCATGCCATAATAGTCAACATTTCCCTCTAAAGGGTTTTATGCCCTTAGCATTAGCGTAGCTAGTAGTTGATAAAGTAACAACAACTATTGAATTTTGTGTACTTCTAAATCTCTCACGAAATTTAGTGTGAAATCTAAATCCATTGATGATGAAACCTTTGTATCATTTCGCAATCCTATTCGGACCTTATGAAAGACACATCACCTCTTCACTGACAAGCCTTCCACTCTAAACCTATAAAAGTGGAATAAATATATATATATGTTATTAATATTATTTATACCGTAAGCATTTATGTAGATTTCTCATAATATAAAGTATGGCATTACTTACAGTTGCTCCTAACCATTCATGAAAGTTTTTGACGAACAACTTATCAAACTCTCAAGGGTTTGATAATCGATAATATGCAGGAGCTCTCAAATTATTTTTATACTCATTACAAAGCATCATGATAAAGTATTAACAATAAAAAAATATAATAAATTATTCATAATAGAATGAATAATTTCCTTGCAAAAAAACTTATGTGTGCAACGATTCAATTGAGTCATAATGGAAACGAACATAACGATGTGCTTGTGCCTAAGATTTATTATTTTAACTCCACCATTTCAACTTTGCCTATTGGTTGTCCAAAACTTTCAAAAAGATAACTGTAGGCAAAGTCAATATGCTATATACCAACATTTCTCGATGGTCTATTAAATCTCATTTCAACATCTTCCAAATAACGAGAACAAAATGTCATACATTTTTTTGCTAAATATTCTTCAGCAATAGAATTTTTCGGATAGTGTTTGTTGCGACAATAAGACTTTAACCTCCTAAAAACCTATCGCATAAAACATTAGTCATATATCTTTTTAACTAGGGTGGCATGATCAACAATAACAACCTAATCGATCTATTAAGAAATAATACCTTTCGATAGGATACATCCATCGATAATAAACCTGTCCACCGACTTTTGCTTCATATGAAGGTGGATAATCAAATGTATCATAATAGTGAAGAAGTTTGGAGGAAAAATCTTCTCTAAATGGCATAAAGTAATCGCGGCTTGATCTTCAAGTTTGTCAAGCTCTTCCACATTCAGACATTTCTTATATAAAGATTTAAATATGTTACTTGATTTAATTACCACATAAGTGACTTGCTTTGACATTGATGAATGTAAAGCAATGAAAAGTAAGTTTTACATCAAAATGTGATAATCATGTAACTTTAATGAAGAAAGTTTTTCCTCTTTCAGATTTACACATCTCAATATATTTGACATATAGCCATTTAAAACTTTGATATTTTTTAAAACCTTGCAAAACACATCTTTCTCAGCTTTAGAAATCTTAAAACAGATAGGAGGCAATCGATATTTATCATTAGGAAGCAACTCGGTTGAAGGTTAGGGTGAATCCCCAATCAACTAGGTCAAGCTGATTCTTTAAGTCATCATTTGATCTTCTATTCACATTGAGAATTGTCCCGATAAAATTTTTACAAACATTCTTCTCTATGTGCATCAAATTAATGTTATGATGTAATAAATTATATTTTTACTAAGATAACTAAAAAAGATACTTCTTTTTTTCCATAACTCAGACTCATTGAGGTTATTTTCTTCATCATCTTTTTCATCACTTTGAACGTCAAGATCACTAACTTGAGTATCAGTATCACCAACTTGCGTAATATGAGGCCAGACAATTTCAAAGATGTCCCTTACTCTTTTTTTTATAGAGTCATTTTTTCATAAGTGAAATTGATATCTTTTAACTTTGACAAGATATTAGACCCACTAATTGGTAAAGGTGATCTCCACAACTCTTCAGTTCCATTAAAGAGATGTTTTTGAAATCTAAATCGATGATTATCATCTAACCATCGATGATATCCCATATAACATAACTTTCTATCATTAAGTAATCATTTCGAACATGTATGTGTAACACAACATGGATAAGTATAATGACCTTTTGTACTCCAATCAGATAAATTCGTATAAGCAAAAAAATCATTGATAATCCATAATAAAGTAGCACGTATATTGAAGTTCTCTTTTTTTGATGCATCATAAGTCTCAACTCATTCCTGTAATTATTTTAACTCTTTAATAGGAGATTGTAAGTAGATGTTTATATCATTACCTGGACCTTTTTTCTCTAAGAATTATCATAAACAAGATAAATGGTTGTTGCTTTATAGTAATCCATGGTGACAAATTGTAAGGAATAATACAATTGGCCAAGTACTATAAGATGTACTAAGTATTTTGAGCAAGTTGAATCCATCAGATGCTAGTCCAAGTCTTTACACATTACTGAGAATTAAGAATAGGGTAAGATAAAGACAACAATTTTGTCTAGAAAGGAATCGAAGAGTTTTCAAAATTTTTTTTAAACAACAATCGGGACAATACAGTGATTCAAAAAATAAGAAATCGATCGGGATAACATCACAAATCAAAATTATGCCTGGAAGACTTAAAGATCATGCCTGAAGGTTTTACAAAATTGATCAGAACAACGTCACAAGTTGAAAAATAAAGAATTGATTGGGACAATGCCGTGAATCAAAATTATGTCCGGAAGTCTTAAAAATCATGCCCGGTGGTCTTACAGAATCAATCGAGATAACGTCGTAAGTCAAAAAATAAAGAATTGATCTGGATAAGATCATAAGTCAAAAAATAAGAAATCGATCAGGATAACACCACGAATTAAAATTATGCCCAAAGGTCTTACAAATCTTAAAATTTTTGAATGCTCCTCTAATTAGAGGCCATGAAACTTTAAAATGTTGAAAATTGAAAATGGCTTTTCCCCAATTAGAGTTGACAAATGCAATCATGATACAAATATCTATCCTCATCAAATGATGTTAATGAAAATGTCGATGTGAATATAAATATCAATGTAAATGCAAGAATACGAATGCTTAATGCAGATATATTTGACAATGACAATGTTTTTTTCATGTAAATGCTCTTACAAATACCTTTCTTCAGGATGCAGATGCCATGATGCAAATGTAAATTTTTCGTGTGGTGCAAATGTAAATATCTTGTACAAGTGCAAATGCAAGTGATGCAAATGCGAATGTCTTTCTTGTAGTACAAATGTAAATGATGCAAATGCAAATGTCCCTTGTAGGATGTACAGGCAACTGATGCAACTATGAATGTCTCTTTTTATTTTTTCATTTACAGGTCAGATGTCTTTCTCATGATGCAAGTGATGCAAATGCAAGATCTTTCAAAAAGTTTTACATCGAGAATTTTTTATTCTGGATAGAATTTTAAAACTCTAAAACTTTTTTGAGACCAGATAAATTAGGCTTAAATTTCATTGAGGGCCTGCTAAATTGGGCTTAAAACCTTATTAATGGTCGGATAAACTGGGTTTACAATTTTCTTAAGGGCTAGCTAAACTGGGCTTAAAACTTTATTGAT